CAATCAAAAATGCTGCCTAATTGTTGCAAATTCTCCCCTGAAAGGTTTGGCGGTGGAAACAGAAGGCTTTTTATCATAGGCCAAGAAATCGGCCCTCAACAACTTAAACTGTGGGGGTGGGGAAATTTCTAAGCCCCGGGGTCACAACTTCAGCAAAAATCTGAAATTCTCCAATTCACTCAAAAATGCTGCCAAACTGTTGCAAATTCTCCCCTGAAAGGTTTGGCGGTAGAAACAGAAGGCTTTTTATCATAGGACATGAAATCAGCCTTCGAAGATATAAATAGTTTAAAAAAAGTTTTCTAAGCCCCAGGGTCACAACTTCATCAAAAATCTGAAATTCTCCAATTCACTCAAAATTGGTGCCAAACTGTTTCAAATTCTCCCCTGAAAGGTTTGGCGGTGGAAACAGAAGCCTTTATATAATAGGCCAAGAAATCAGCTCTCGACAACTTAACCTGTGGGGGTGGGTAAATTTCTAGGCCCCGGGGTCACAATTTCAGCAAAAATCTGAAATTCTCCAATTCACTCAAAAATGGTGCCAAACTGTTGCAAATTCTCCCCTGAAAGGTTTGGCAGAGGTAACAGAAAGCTCTTTATCATAGGCCAAGAAATCAGCCCTTGGCAACTTAACCTGTGAAAAAAAAAAATTCTAAACCCAGGGGTCACAACTTCAGCAAAAATCTGAAATTCTCCAATTCACTCAAAAATGGTGCCAAACTGTTGCAAATTCTCCCCTGAAAGGTTTGGCGGTGGAAACAGAAGGCTTTTTGTCATTGGCCAAGAAATCAGCCCTCGAAGACATAACCTGTGAAAAACAGAATTTCTAAGCCGCGGGGTCAGAACTTCAGCAAAAATCTGATATTCTCCAATTCACTCAAAAATGGTGCCAAATTATTGAAAATTCTCGCCTCAAAGGTTTGGCGTTGGAAACTCAAGGCTTTTTATCATAGGACATGAAATCAGCCCTCGACAACTTAACCTGTGGGGAAAAAAATTTCTAAGCCCCGGGGTCACAATTTCTGCAATAATCTGAAATTCTCCAATTCACTCAAAATGGCTGCCAAAGTGTTGCAAATTCTCCCCTGAAAGGTTTGGCGGTGGAAACAGAAGGCTTTTTATCATAGGCCAAGAAATCAGCCCTCAAGAAGTTAACTTGTGAAAAAAAAACATTTTAAGCCCCGGGTTCACATTTTCAGCAAAAATCTGAAATTCTCTAATTCAATCAAAAATGCTGCCTAATTGTTGCAAATTCTCCCCTGAAAGGTTTGGCAGAGGTAACAGAAAGCTCTTTATCATAGGCCAAGAAATCGGCCCTCAACAACTTAAACTGTGGGGGAGGAAATTTCTAAGCCCAGGGTCACAACTCAGCAAAAATCTGAAATTCTCCAATTCACTCAAAAATGCTGCCAAACTGTTGCAAATTCTCCCCTGAAAGGTTTGGCGGTAGAAACAGAAGGCTTTTATCATAGGACATGAAATCAGCCTTCGAAGATATAACATAGTTAAAAAAAGTTTTCTAAGCCCCAGGGTCACAACTTCATCAAAAATATGAAATTCTCCAATTCACTCAAAATTGGTGCCAAACTGTTTCAAATTCTCCCTGAAAGGTTTGGCGGTGGAAACAGAAGGCTTTTTATCATAGGCCAAGAAATCTGCTCTCCCCAACTTAAACTGTGGGGGTGGGTAAATTTCTAGGCCCCGGGGTCACAATTTCAGCAAAAATCTGAAATTCTCCAATTCACTCAAAAATGGTGCCAAACTGTTGCAAATTCTCCCCTGAAAGGTTTGGCAGAGGTAACAGAAAGCTCTTTATCATAGGCCAAGAAATCAGCCCTTGGCAACTTAACCTGTGAAAAAAAATTCTAAGCCCAGGGGTCACAATTTCAGCAAAAATCTGAAATTCGGCAATTCACTCAAAAATGGTGCAAACTCTTGCAAATTCTCCCCTGAAAGGTTTGGCGGTGGAAACAGAATGCTTTTTATCATAGGACATGAAATCAGCCTTCGATGACATAACTTGTGAAAAAATAAATTTCTAAGCCCCGGGGTCACAACTTAAGCAAAAATCTGAAATTTTGCAATTCATTCAAAATTGCTGCCAAACTGTTGCACATTCTCCCCTCAAAGGTTTGGCGGTGGAAACAGAAAGTTTTTTATCATAGGCCAAGATATCAGACCTCGACAAATTAACCTGTGAAAAGAAAATTTCTAAGTCATGGGGTCACAATTTCAGCAAAACTCCGAAATTCTCCAATTCACTCAAAAATGGTGCCAAACTGTTGCAAATTCTCCCTGAAAGATTTGGCGGTGGAAACAGAAGGCTTTTTGTCATTGGCCAAGAAATCAGCCCTCGAAGACATAATCTGTGAAAAACAAAATTTCTAAGCCGCGGGGTCACAACTTCAGCAAAAATCTGATATTCTCCAATTCACTCAAAAATGGTGCCAAGTTATTGAAAATTCTCCCCTCAAAGGTTTGGCGGTGGAAACAGAAGGCTTTTTATCATAGGATATGAAATCAGCCCTCGACAACTTAACCTGCGGGGAAAAAATTTCTAAGCCCGGGGTCACAATTTCTGCAAAAATCTGAAATTCTCAATTCACTCAAAATGCTGCCAAACTGTTGCAAATTCTCCGCAGAAAGGTTTGGCGGTGGAAACAGAAGGTTTTTTATCATAGGACATGAAATCAGCCATCGAAGACATAACCTGTCGGGGAAAAAATTTCTAAGCCCTCGGGGTCACAAATTCAGCAAATATCTGAAATTCTCAAACTCAAAAAAAAACTGGTGCTAAACTATTACAAATTCTCCCCTGAAAGGCTTGGCGGTGGAAACAGAAGGTTTTTTATCATAGGACATGAAATCAGCCATCGAAGACATAACCTGTGGGGTGGAGAAATTTCTAAGCCCGGGGTCACAACTTCAGCAAAAATCTGAAATTCTCCAATTCACTCAAAAATGATGCCAAACTGTTGCAAATTTTCCACTGAAAGGTTTGGCGGTGAAACAGATCGCTTTTTAGCATAGGGCAAGAAATCAGCCCTCGACAACTTAAGCTGTGGAAAAAATTTTCTAAGTCCCGGGGTCACAATTTCAGCAAAAATCTGCAGTTCTCCAATTCCCTCAAAAATGGTGCCAAATTGTTGCAAATTCTCCCCTGAATGGTTTGGCAGTGGAAACAGAAGGCTTTTTATCATAGGCCAAGAAATCAGCCCTCGACAACTTAACCTGGGGAGGAAAAAATTCTAAGCCTCGTGTTCACAACTTCAGCATAAAATCTGAAATTCTCCAAGTCACTCAAAAATGCTGCCAAACTGTTGCAAATTCTCCCCTGAAAGTTTTGGCGGTGGAAACAGAAGGCTTTTTCTCATAGGCCAAGAAATCAGCTCTCGACAACTTAACCTGTCGGGGTTGGGAAATTTCTAAGCCCCGGGGTCACAACTTCAGCAAAAATCTGAAATTCTCCAATTCACTCAAAATGCTGCCAAAGTGTTGCAAATTCTCCGCTGAAAGGTTTGGCGGTAGAAACAGAAGGCTTTTTATCATAGGACATGAAATCAGCCTTCGAAGACATAACCAGTTAAAAAAAAGTTTTCTAAGCCCCGGGGTCACAACTTCATCAAAAATCTGAAATTCTCCAATTCACTCAAAATTGGTGCCAAACTGTTTCAAATTCTCCCCTGAAAGGTTTGGCGGTGGAAACAGAAGCCTTTATATAATAGGCCAAGAAATCAGCTCTCGACAACTTAACCTGTGGGGGTGGGTAAATTTCTAGGCCCCGGGGTCACAATTTCAGCAAAAATCTGAAATTCTCCAATTCACTCAAAAATGGTGCCAAACTGTTGCAAATTCTCCCTGAAAGGTTTGGCAGAGGTAACAGAAAGCTCTTTATCATAGGCCAAGAAATCAGCCCTTGGCAACTTAACCTGTGAAAAAAAAATTCTAAGCCCAGGGTCACAATTTCAGCAAAAATCTGAAATTCTCCAATTCACTCAAAAATGGTGCCAAACTGTTGCAAATTCTCCCCTGAAAGGTTTGGCGGTGGAAACAGAAGGCTTTTTGTCATAGGACAAGAAATCAGCCCTCGAAGACATCACCTGTGAAAAACAGAATTTCTAAGCCGCGGGGTCAGAACTTCAGCAAAATCTGATATTCTCCAATTCACTCAAAAATGGTGCCAAATTATTGAAAATTCTCGCCTCAAAGGTTTGGCGTTGGAAACTCAAGGCTTTTTATCATAGGACATGAAATCAGCCCTCGACAACTTAACCTGTGGGGAAAAAAATTTCTAAGCCCCGGGGTCACAATTTCTGAAATAATCTGAAACTCTCCAATTCACTCAAAATGCTGCCAAAGTATTTCAAATTCTCCCCTGAAAGGTTTGGCGGTGGAAACAGAAGGATTTTTATCATAGGACAAGAAATCAGCCATCGAAGACATAACCTGTGGGGAAAATTTTTTGTAAGCCCCGGAGTCACAAATTCTGCAAATATCTGAAATTCTCAAACTCAAAAAAAAGGGTGCTAAACTATTGCAAATTCTCCTCTGAAAGGTTTGGTGGTGGAAACAGAAGGCTTTTTATCATAGGTCAGGAAATCAGCCTTCGATGACATAACCTGTGAAAAAAAAATTTCTAAGCCCGGGGTCACAATTTCAGCAAAAATCTGAAATTCTCCAATTCACTCAAAAATGCTGCCAAAGTGTTGCAAATTCTCCCTTAATACGTTTGGCGGTGGAAACAGAGGGCTTTTTATCATATAACATGAAATCAGCCTTCGAAAACATAACCTGGGAGAAACATAATTTCTAAGCCCCGGGGTCACAGTTTCAGCAAAAATCTGAAATTCTCCTATTCACTCACAATGTTGCCAAAGTGTTGCAAATTCTCCCCTGAAATGTTTGGCGGTGGAAACAGAAGGCTTTTTATCATAGGACATGAAATCAGCCTTCGATGACATAACCTGTGAAAAAAATTTCTAAGCCCAGGGTCACAATTTCAGCAAAAATCTGAAATTCTCCAATTCACTCAAAAATGCTGCCAAAGTGTTGCAAATTCTCCCTTGAAACGTTTGGCGGTGGAAACAGAGGGCTTTTATCATATGACATGAAATCAGCCCTCGACAACATAACCTGTGAAAAAAAAATTCTAAGCCCGGGGTCACAATTTCAGCAAAAATCTGAAATTTTCCAATTCACTCAACACTTTGGCAGCATTTTTGAGTGGATTGGAGAATTTCAGATTTTTGCTGAAACTGTGACCCTAGGGCTTAGAAATTTTTCTCACAGGTTATGTTTTCGAAGGCTGATTCTTGTCCTATGATAAGAAGCCTTCTGTTCCACCGCCAAACCTTTCAGGGAGAGTTTGCAACACTTTGGCAGCATTTTGAGTGAATTGGAGAATTTCAGATTTTGCTGAAATTGTGACCCGAGCTTAGAAATTTTTTTCACAGGTTATGTCATCGAAGGCTGATTTCATGTCCTATGTAAAAGCCTTCTGTCAGGGGAGAATTTGCAACACTTTGGCAGCATTTTTGAGTGAATTGGAGAATTTCAGATTTTTGCTGAAATTGTGACCCCGGGGCTTAGAAATTTTTTTTTCACATGTTAAGTGTTCGAAGGCTAATATCATGTCCTATGATAAAAAGCCTTCTATTTCCACCGACAAAACTTTAAAGGCAGAATTTAAAACACTTTGGCAACCTTTTTGAGTGAATTGGAGAATTTCAGATTTTTGCTGAAGTTGTGACCCAGGGCTTAGAAATTTTTCTTTCACGGGTTAAGTTCTCGAGGGCTGATCTCTTGGCCTATGAAAAAAGCCTTCTGTTACCACCGCCAAACCTTTCAGGGAGAATTTGCAACACTTTGGCAGCATTTTTGAGTGAATTGGAGAATTTCAGATTTTTGCTGAAATTGTGACCCGGGGCTTAGAAATTTTTTTCACAGGTTATGTCATCGAAGGCTGATTTCATGTCCTATGATAAAAAGCCTTCTGTTTCCACCGCCAAACCTTTCAGGGAGAATTTGCAACACTTTGGCAACCTTTTGAGTGAATTGGAGAATTTCAGATTTTTGCTGAAGTTGTGACCCGGGGCTTAGAAATTTTTCTTACACAGGTTAAGTTGTTGAGGGCTGATTTCTTGGCCTATGATAAAAAGCCTTCTGTTACCAGGGCCAAACCTTTCAGGGGAGAATTTGCAACACTTTGGCAACATTTTTGAGTGAATTGGACAATTTCAGATTTTGCTGAAACTGTGACCCGGGGCTTAGAAATTTTTTTTCGCAGGTTATGTTTTCGAAGGCTGATTTCATGTCATATGATAAAAGCCCTCTGTTTCCACCGCCAAACGCTTTAGCGGAGAATTTGCAACACTTTGGCAGCATTTTTGAGTGAATTGGAGAATTTCAGATTTTGCTGAAATTGTGACCCGGAGCTTAGAAAATTTTTTTTCACAGGTTAAGTCTTCGAAGGCTGATTTCATGTCCTATGATAAAAGCCTTCTGTTTCCACCGCCAAACCTTTCAGGGAGAATTTGCAACACTTTGGCAACCATTTTGAGTGAATTGGAGAATTTCAGATTTTTGCTGAAATTGTGACCCCGGGGCTCAGAATTTTTTCTTTCACGGGTTAAGTTGTCGAGGGCTGATTTCTTGGCCTATGATAAAAAGCCTTCTGTTACCACCGCCAAACCGTTCAGGGGAGAATTTGCAACACTTTGGTAGTATTTTTGAGTGAATTGGAGAATTTCAGATTTTTACTGAAATTGTGACCCCGGGGCTTAGAAAAATTTTTTTTCACAGGTTATGTCATCGAAGGCTGATTTCATGTCCTATGATAAAAAGCCTTCTGTTTCCACCGCCAAACCTTTCAGGGAGAATTTGCAACACTTTGGCAACCTTTTTGAGTGAATTGGAGAATTTCAGATTTTTGCTGAAGTTGTGACCCGGGGCTTAGAAATATTTTATTTCACGGGTTAAGTTGTCGAGGGCTGATTTCTGGGCCTATGATAAAAGCCTTCTGTTACCACCGCCAAAGCTTTCAGGGAGAATCTGCAACACTTTGGCAGCCTTTTTGAGTGAATTGGAGAATTTCAGATTTTGCTGAAATTGTGACCCGGGGCTTAGAAATTTTTTCTTTCACGGGTTAAGTTGTGGATGGCTGATTTCTTGGCCTATGATAAAAGCCTTCTGTTGCCACCGCCAAACCTTTCAGGGAGAATTTGCAACACTTTGGCACCATTTTTGAGTGAATTGGAGAATTTCAGATTTTTGCTGAAATTGTGACCCGGGGCTTAGAAAATATTTTTTTTCACAGGTTAATTCTACGAAGGCTTATTACATGTCCTATGAAAAAAACCATACTGTTTCCAACGCTAAACGTTTAAGGGGAGAATTTGCAACACTTTGCCAACCTTTTTGAGTGAATTGGAGAATTTCAGATTTTTGCTGAAGTTGTGACCCCAGGGCTTAGAAATTTTTTCTTTCTCGGGTTAAGTTGTCGTGGGCTGATTTCTTGGCCTATGATAAAAAGCCTTCTGTTACCACCGCCAAACCTTTCAGGGAGAATTTGCAACACTTTGGCAGCATTTTTGAGTGAATTGGAGAATTTCAGATTTTTGCTGAAATAGTGACCCGGGGCTTAGAAATTTTTTTCCACAGGTTATGTTTTCGAAGGCTGATTTCATGTTATATGATAAAAGCCTTCTGTTTCCACCGCCAAACCTTTCAGGGGAGAATTTGCAACACTTTGGCAGCATTTTTGAGTGAATTGGAGAATTTCAGATTTTTGCTGAAATTGTGACCCCGGGGCTTAGAAATTTTTTCTTTCACAGGTTATGTCATCGAAGGCTGATTTCTTGGCCTATGATAAAAAGCCTTCTGTTACCACCGCCAAACCTTTCAGGGGAGAATTTGCAACACTTTGGCAGCATTTTTGAGTGAATTGGAAAATTTCAGATTTCTGCTGAAGTTGTGACCCCGGGGCTTAGAAAATTTTTTTTTCATAGGTTATGTCATCGAAGGCTGATTTCATGTCCTATGATAAAAAGGCTTCTGTTTCCACCGCCAAACCTTTCAGGGGAGAATTTGCAACACTTTGGCAGCATTTTTGAGTGAATTGGATAATTTCAGATTTCTGCTGAAGTTGTGACCCGGGGGCTTAGAAATTTTTTTTTCACAGGTTATGTTTTCGAAGGCTGATTTCATGTTATATGATAAAAGCCTTCTGTTTCCACCGCCAAACCTTTCAGGGAGACTTTGCAACACTTTGGCAACCTTTTGAGTGAATTGGAGAATTTCAGATTTTTGCTGAAGTTGTGACACCGGGGCTTAGAAATTTTTTCTTTCACGGGTTAAGTTGTCGAGGGCTGATTTCTTGGCCTATGATAAAAAGCCTTCTGTTACCACCGCCAAACCTTTCAGGGGAGAATTTGCAACACTTTGGCAGCATTTTTGAGTGAATTGGAAAATTTCAGATTTCTGCTGAAGTTGTGAGCCCGGGGCTTAGAAATTTTTTCTTTCACGGGTTAAGTTGTCGAGGGCTGATTTCTTCGCCTATGATAAAAAGCCTTCTGTTACCACCGCCAAACCTTTCAGGGGAGAATTTGCAACAATTTGGCAGAATTTTTGAGTGAATTGGAAAATTTCAGATTTCTGCTGAAGTTGTGAGCCCGGGGCTTAGAAATTTTTCTTTCACAGGTTATGTTTTCGAAGGCTGATTTCATGTCCTATGATAAAAGCCTTCTGTTTCCACCGCCAAACCTTTCAGGGAGAATTTGCAACACTTTGGCAGCATTTTTGAGTGAATTGGAGAATTTCAGATTTTGCTGAAATTGTGACCCGAGGCTTAGAAATTTTTTTTTCACAGGTTATGTTTTCGAAGGCTGATTTCATGTCATATGATAAAAGCCTTCTGTTTCCACCGCCAAACCTTTCAGGGAGAATTTGCAACACTTTGGCAGCATTTTTGAGTGAATTGGAGAATTTCAGATTTTTGCTGAAGTTGTGACACCGGGGCTTAGAAATTTTTTCTTTCACGGGTTAAGTTGTCGAGGGCTGATTTCTTGGCCTATGATAAAAAGCCTTCTGTTACCACCGCCAAACCTTTCAGGGGAGAATTTGCAACACTTTGGCAGCATTTTTGAGTGAATTGGAGAATTTCAGATTTTTGCTGAAATTGTGACCCGGGGCTTAGGAAATTTTTTTTCACAGGTTATGTTTTCAAAGGCTGATTTCATGTTATATGATAAGAAGCCTTCTGTTTCCACCGCCAAACCTTTCAGGGGAGAATTTGCAACACTTTGGCAGCATTTTTGAGTGAATTGGAGAATTTCAGATTTTGCTGAAATTGTGACCCGGGGCTTAGAAATTTTTTTTCACAGGTTAAGTCTTCGAAGGCTGATTTCATGTCCTATGATAAAAAGCCTTCTGTTTCCACCGCCAAACCTTTCAGGGAGAATTTGCAACACTTTGGCAACCTTTTTGAGTGAATTGGAGAATTTCAGATTTTTGCTGAAGTTGTGACCCCGGGGCTTAGAAATTTTTTCTTTCACGGGTTAAGTTGTCGAGGGCTGATTTCTTGGCCTATGAAAAAAAGCCTTCTGTTACCACCGCCAAACCTTTCAGGAGAGAATTTGCAACAGTTTGGCACCATTTTTGAGTGAATTGGAGAATTTCAGATTTCTGCTGAAGTTGTGACCCGGGGCTTAGAAATTTTTTCTTTCACAGGTTAAGTTGTCGAGGACTGATTTCTTGTCCTATGATAAGAAGCCTTCTGTTTCCACCGCCAAACCTTTCAGGGAGAATTTGCAACACTTTGGCAGCATATTGGTGTGCATTGGAGCATTTCAGATTTCTGCTTAAATTGTGACCCCGGGGCTTAGAAATTTTTTTTTTCACATGTTAAGTCTTCGAAGGCTAATATCATGTCCTATGATAAAAAGCCTTCTGTTACCACCGCCATACCTTTCAGGGGAGAATTTGCAACACTTTGGCAGCATTTTTGAGTGAATTGGAGAATTTCAGATTTTTGCTGAAATTGTGACCCCGGGGCTTAGAAATTTTTTTTCACAGGTTATGTTTTCGAAGGCTGATTTCATGTTATATGATAAAAAGCCCTCTGTTTCCACCGCCAAACGTTTTAAGGGAGAATTTGCAACACTTTGGCAGCATTTTTGAGTGAATTGGAGAATTTCAGATTTTTGCTGAAATTGTGACCCCGGGGCCTAGAAAATTTTTTTTTCACAGGTTATGT